CATTCCCTTGCAATCTACAGCGCTGCTTTCAAGGTGCTGGATTTTGTTTTTTTTTTTAAAAAAAAAACACACACGCGCGCGCGCGCGCACTATCTTCTATAAACTCTTAAATGTTTTTGAAAGGCTTGCAGATTTGAACGTAACATAAGCAACTTCAATCATGCTATCACCTTTATTTGTAACGTCTCTGTAACACCTGAACTCTTACGTCACGTTTCCTTATTAAAATATAATGAAATAAAATGAGCTGAAAAAATAAAAATAAAAATAAACCCAATTATCTTTCTCTTCATAATAAACATAATAAATTTATTAATATATATTATAAATATAAAAATTATTATAATTTTTAAAAATTTTATGAATCATAATTTCTTATTCATAAATTAAATTATTTTTTTATAAATGTACTCACCTATCTTTTTTAATAATTTTATTTTTACTTTTATTATTTTAATTTATTATATTTTATTTTATTTTAATAACCAAACATGCCCTTACTTCTTATTTGAATGTGAAGAGAACAAGGCAGCATACAGTGGAGCAAAAATTTAACGGATTCAAATTTGAAACTGATGGGAAGTGTGGTGCTCTAAAGATAGCGAAAGAGCGTTTCATATTTGACGCGACATGGGTGGAGGGAATAGATATGGTAGAATTTTAAATGAGGACTAAGGATATAATTTAATTATTAATGAGTTTTAAAAAATTTTAAAATTTTAATTTAATCTAGAGGAATAAAAGTAAAAATAATTTTAATTATAAAAAAATTAATATACCTTTTACTTGTTAGGCAGAATCATTAATTATTAATTTTTTTATTTTACTTGTTAATTTATCAATATTACTTGTAAATTACATCCGTTTGTCAAACAAGAAGTATATTAATTGTTAATTTACTAACTTTATTTATTAATTTACTAACATCAGTTGTAAATTACTTATAACTGATGTTAATAAATTAACAAGTAAAGTTAGCAATTTAACAACTGATGTTGCTACTTATGATTAAATAACTAATGTCAAGTTTTATAATATTATTGACATGTCAGCTCATGTGATTTATAACTCGTATTAGTAAATTAATAAATAAAATAAAAAAATTAATAACTAATAATTTTACATAATAAGTTAAGGATATTTTGATCATTTCACAATTAAAATTATTTTTATTTTTATCCCCTAAGCTAAACTCGTAATTAAATTACTTCCTTAGCATTCATTTGAAATTCTCCCAATAGATATTTATGTAAAATTTCTATTTAATTAAGGGGGAGCGTTGCCGGCGAGGAGACACAGAACATAGGGGAAAATCACAACTAGCTTGCAGGAAACTTCACTCCAAATTAAATATCTACAACAAGAAAATGATGTTGATGGCTTGAATCTTCGCTGACATTAGTCATGTGCTCCACTTGGTCACTGGACCCAACAGTGCCTCAATGTTTTTTATTTTTGGCAATCGACAGTACTGCCTCATATTTAATCTGAATAGGTTTCCATGTGGTCTGATCTACCCATTTTGACTCCTAAGATATTGTTGGGGTGGCAATGGTTAGAAGAGAAGAAGATAAAGATCAGCGGAAAAAAATTGATCACAATGTCTCCAATAAATGGGTACCATTTTTTCACCTTAATAACAAATTTTTTTAGATGTACTGAAGAATATTGAGTGTATGGGTTATAATTTCAAATCTCAAATTAAGATAACAATAATTTTTATAAAGAGTAATTTTACTTTTATCATTAATGTACTCAAAAAACAAAAAATAGTGATTTTGAATTTAAAAATGGAGTGATGGTGAGAAATATTTACAGACAAATGAAGTAATTTCTTTTGGAGCAATATAACATTTCAATTAAAAAGGCATAACCCCGTGTGTTTCATGAATTAATATAGTTTTATAACCAATGGTTGTCAAAATTAATTCCTCATAGAGTGACATCTTTTTAATATGTAAAGTTTTGGTGAATAACAATTATTTTCATCTTTCACATCATTACCATACCTTTTGATTTTATAATCTTTCAAACGTGTAAATTTAAAAAATATTTATAAGGATATTATTATTGTTTTTCATGAAGCACGTCTCTTTATTTTTAAAATATTCCAACTGATATTTCCCATTTCGTCCCCGTTATATTCATAGTTTTGTGTTTCAATTACGTAGAGTTTTCGGAAGTTATAGCCTAAATAAATAACTAGCAGGATTGGACATGCTGATATGCCCCGGAAATGTATTAACCCATCGTGGTTGCTGTACTCGTATCCTAGGAATTAGTTACTTAAAATTAACAAGACCATCGAATGGGTCTCCAAAAAAAAAAAAAAAAAAACCCTGTTAGAACATGTTAGAGTGTAGGAAGAATTTCACTAAGAATCATAAAATATTTACATTTTTAATCAAATCTTATTCCATAATAAAGTAGTTATTTATTTTTTAATTAATCCTATCTTTTTATATTTATCTCTATTAAATACCCTACAATAAATATAAAGATCGTCAATAGGGTACTTAAAAAAAAGTAAGATTTCATTTTAAAAGATTAAAAATGTCTTACATTTTTAACATACAACTTCTTAAAAAATACTTTACATTTTTAAACGGAGAGGGTAAATATTTATCAGTGAGTTTCACAAAAAAAAAATCTAAAAATTATCTGAGTTAAACTGAAATAAAATGGGTAGCTAAAAAAACCAAAATGTCCTTCTACAAAATGGTTATTACCTAACTTTGCTTGTTAATTGCTTACTTATACTTGTTAATTTCTTAACACTTATTAAATAATTAACTAGTTTATTATGTGACTATATAATTTTGAGAACATTACTTATTAATTTCATAACTTGTTATCAATATGACTTGTTAACTACTCAACTTAGCTTGTAAATCCTTTACAAGACTTGTTCACTCAATTTGACCAAAAAATATAATCATTAGTTTTAATTTTTTTATTTCACTTGTTAATTTATCAATATTAGTTGTAAATTACCTGACTTCACCTATCAATAATTATACTAATATCAATTGTTAATTATCTAACTTTTACCTCTTAATTTATTAATATTAGTTGTAAATTACATGACTTGTCAATGATCATATTAGTTCAATCATTTTATCCTAAATGTAGAATAATTAGTTGTCAATTCTCTTGCTTTACTTTTTAATTTACTAATATCAATTGTTTTTAATTTACTAATATCAATTGTCAATCATTTTTTTTTTACTTTTGCGTAAGACCATTTTGAGCCATCCATTTTATTTCAGTTCAGTTTAAAAATCATGCAGTGAATTTTTAATTTTTTTTTGAGATCCACTAATAAATATTTTCTTCCTTAATCCTTAGTTGAAATTCTTCCCAAAGTATATCTGTGATGATAACTATAGATAGATGTCACTGTTGAAAGACGTAAGGGAAACTACAATCTATATTGCACTTTAACACAGGGTTCTGAATGTAAGGCCATACTAGGATGAAATCCTTATAACATTATATATTTTTTGAATAAGCATGTTCCTTCCATGACTTGTCTATTATGACAAGGTGTCTGGAATCTGCATTGCAGGGCCGCGAGCAACTTGATCAGGTAGAAAAGTATCTAACTCAAAGAGGGGGAGAGAAAGTTCTTATCGTCAAGACTATGGACAAACATGCCCCTGGTGGAGAGGAGGACTGCTTGTTCTTTGTGTTTGTTCTATGTGCTTGTCTTACGGGTACTCTACAATATTCACGTAAACCTGCAACTTTATTATGTTTTCCTCCTCGTATGATTCAGTCTCAAGCAGTCACGTTCGCCTTGTTTAATGTTCGGTCAAAATCACAAGAAAAAGAAAATTCGCACGCCTACATGCGTTTCATTGTCTGCTTGGATAGCTGTATTTTTTTTTTTTTTTGTGGGTTCTGACAAAAGATATTACCCTGAAGATTCTCCAACGTAGCCAAATTAACTAATATTAACTATTAACTAATACTCCATGTAATAATAACACATCCTAGAATACACACTTCACGCGGGAGGAAAGTGGGAGCCTTACAGAATGAGAATGGGAATTATTTTTTCCCCAGTTGCTATTGAAAAAGACAAATCTTGTGATCATAATCATAGTCAGATACTGTTATACTTCGGTAATTGCAATAAGGGTACATAATTGCTGCACTAAAATTTAGCTTTAATCTGCAGTCAACCATGCCGCTCAGCTGGGAGTTCACTGTTACTATTACTAATCATGAATGTTTTGAAATAAAGGAAATTCTGGGCCAAGCAAAAGCTTTCATGTACCACATATACCATGATTTCCCCATCTTAAAAATGAGGTTAATCTCTTTCCTTTTGTGAGCTTTTTCTTCCCTTACAAAAGTTAATGGCTGTTTGTAACTTTTTTGGGTCAGTCTTCTTTGGCATATCATTTTTTTAATGGAAAAAAAGTTGTAATCTTGTGGTTGTGGAGGTCATACTGAATGACTTTCTACTTTCCTTCTTTACTGAGGGAAACTAAATTATAACACTGAAAGTCTGAAAGAAAGGATGAACTAGAATAAAATATGGTATTTCTCCCACACACGACACATTGCGTATTACTACAGTGCTTCTGCCTGTTATCTGTAGAGCTTTGAAAGAATAATGGCAGTGACTGGGACTCCAGTTCTGGGTAAAATGGTTCAGACTCAGAACACTGGACTGGGCATAGACCTGTTGGTCGTTCCTATACTTATTATTGACTATGGTTAATTAAACTGCTCATATTTGAGAGTGATTATTTTCTTTTTGGTCTTAAACGCCCTAGTTTTATGAAATAGTAGGAGGAGAAGGGAATTTTGAACCAAAGGAAGAGCCGGAAGACAAGAACAAGGTATCCTATCATTACTCTCCTTGAAACGGAGAATTAGCACAACGACTTATCATTAGTGTGCATTACTTGGAAAACTAAAAGTCACTTTTGCCTGAGGGAATTGCAACTCTAGTGAGGCTAATGATAATAATGGTACGGCTAAGAGATTCAATTTCACTCTCTGAAAGTTGTATGTGCAAAGAGTGCAAAACTATGAATTTCAGAAATTTATAGCTGGAAAAAACCCACTTTGTTATTTGAAACATCAAACTTCATCAAAATGCAGCAGCATTCTCAATTTGACAATGCCTCTCTTACATCTCTGACAGAGTCCTCTCCTCTCTCCAGTTCTCTCTGTGGTCTCTAGTGCTGTCATGTGCTTTCGTTTCACAAACTGTGATTTTCCTGGCATTACCTAAAGTTTTCCCTGAACTACAGTGCTGTTGAGACTGTTTACAGTGGGCTATGGCTCCCTCAATTGAACCTTCGAGCTCTGAATTTGCACTGCTGCTCCGCTTGAACAACTGTAAATCATAGAACCCACTTGAGCTGAATGAAAAAGACGAAGATGTAGAAGAAGACCCAGATGAAGATGTGGACGAAGAAGAAGCCTTGACTGCAGAATGCCGTTGAATCGCCCCTGAGAAGGACCTCCTATGGTTATTCATGGGACGATCTTCAAGCATCTTTCTGTTTATGGTCTTCATGGCCGCACAGGAAATCTGGTGCCTGCTATCATCAATAATTTCGAATGAGTTTTTCATAGCAGTAACGTTGTAATTATTCTGACAGTCTTGGCATTTTGATTTCCTTGCTGCTCCTCCCGCATTATTTGCTGCATTAGCACATGACTTGTCTGAACAAGCGGATTTGTTGAACAAGGACTTCAGATACGCTCGTGAAGCCTTGAACCTTTGACCCAGCCAGAACTGCTTCATCTGTTTCAGCTTCTTAGACCAAGATTTCTTTGGAATATCAACGCCCACAAACCCATTGATTTCAGTGGACCAGTTATACAGGTATTCATCTGGGTTCACATCACTACTAGCCCGGCATGATTCTGAAGGGGAAATATTGCAGGATTCCAAGGGAGTGCTGGCATTGTAGAAGGTAATCTAAGGTCAGATTCAGTGGTGAAGGGAAAGATTGTATCTTTCAATGCTGATTCCGTTTTCATATACTGGAAAGTGTCATTGGAAGTCTCGAGAAGCTTCCGAACCATTTGCAGGCGAGGTGGAAGATGAAGAGGGAGGAGTTTTCCTTTGTAGAAGAGTTCATCAGCTGGGGAAGTTATGGACTCTTTCTGGTTGGAAATTGATGCCATCTGGAATTCAAACTCTCTGCTTTTTTGTGGAGAGCTAAAGGAGTGAGAGAATAAGTCTGAGGAAGAAGAACTTATCTCCATATCGATATAGTCTTCATCTACATGAAAAAACGCAGCTTGTTTTGTGGCCATTTCATGTGATTCCTCTTTTTGTGTATGTCGGAGTGCGGAGATGTCTACGGGCAATTGAAATTTCTGAAGCGAGAGCCAGAGTTTAAAGCGAGGTGGTGCCAAAGTTTGTTATATAAAGGATTTTTTTTCTTTTTCTTTTAAAAAAGGAATATAGTTTTCTATTAAAAATCTTAAACTTTACATCTCCAGCTTTTTATTCCTCGCTTTACTGCCTTGGTCCTGTTCTACCAACATTTGAATTTCACCTCGCTGCCAATGGCTATTAGCACTAACTGGCTAACAGCGACCTTTCCTTTAAACAATAGTATGGCGTCGAAACCATTGTATTATTTGTATGTCTTAAGTATGAATATGTTAATAGTTAATAAATGAATAAAGTAGATTATTATTATACATATAATAATTGAATAGTGGTATAATATTTTAAAATTGATAATACCATCCCCTGTTTAGGAAAAATGGACTGTGACTCAAAAGCATGAAATGCAGTTATTATTATGACTGATTATTCTTTTCTTACTAAGGAAGCAGTCAGGGGTTAATGGTTAACAATTTTATTGGTTATAATTGGGGTATCAAATTCAAAGATGGAATGGATTTGCATCAGGGAAAGCTTTTATGGAGTACGTATTTTGTGGGAGGCACAAAATATACACCCACCCAAGAGAAAGATGCAGAGTAACCCACATCAGATATCTGTCAAAGCAGCAATAAAGAAAGCAATGATGATCCTCGAAAGTACTTTGGTGGCTTTCACTCTCCTTTTTTCTTTTCTCCCTTTTGCCTTTTCTGCTTCACTGTGCTGTTCACGACTTCAGTCCACTGTGTAATTGTTGCTTTTCCCGTAGCACATTTTCTTTATTCTGTTTTTGGTTTTCAGTGAAGAGATGAATCTACGATATTTACTGCCAAAAGAGAAAAGAAAACAAGGACACGCTGTTTCTGAGTTTATCTGCTGAGTGGAAAGAGCCAAACTAGGGTTTGGCACAAAGCGGATACATTATAAGCTTCGTCTGCGAGGTTCAATCCCTTAGATGTGTTGTCCGTAATCAGTGGTTAACATTATTGACGCAATCCATGTGTTTGACACATTCTCTTATTCTTGTATTTGTCCCCTTGCATTTAAACAGGAAACCCACCACCAAAGTACAAGACGAGAATCCATCACACAGGGAGATGTTGACACTAATATTGTTTTTTATTGGGAGTTTCAATGTAAGTAAAGCTCATTCCTCGGACCTAAAACGCGGGATTCATATGATTGATGAATCTAACCCACAATCATGTACAACAGGGGAGGTTTCATTTCAATAAAAATGAACATACAGAGATTATGGGTAAATTGATTACGGTGGGTTTTATTAACCGACACAGGCTTCTCTGTCATGATTTTGACGAGTCATCGAGTTGTTGAGAAGACATCTAGTCTGCATATTTGGAGTGGAGAGTTTGAGAAGGTGAAAAGGGCCAAAAGGGAAGGAAGAGCAAGAACTTGTTTGGGAACTTGGGCCTCATCTTTTCCCGTTTGTTTATCCCAATATCTAAATCTCCCTCCCTCCCTCCCTCCCTCTCCTCCCTCTCTCTCTCTCTACCCAACGTAAATAATCGAGTTGGGGGCAATCATACATGGGTCTGCACATTTGACCAGGTCAAAATGAAGCTAGGCATTATTTTAGACTTTCCTGTTTGGCTCTATGCTGGTGTTGGACGACTGATTTGGGAATTCTAAATTGAGGTTTGACCTCATGAAATAAAGAAAACAAGCAGTACTCAAAATCAAACCACGAAGGCATTGGAAAGTGATGAATGCAAGGCCATAGGCCCTCAGGCCTAATGAAAATACAATCGCCTTCCTCTTCTGTGGGTATCGAGATGGAGTAAAAGGCTAAAAGAAAGACGCAACGAAGCTCGAGGCACTTGTTTTATTTTTCTTACTTTTGTCTCTCCCTCTGGGAACTTACCCATTCTCCCAGCAATAACATATTCCCTATCCAAATTGAAACTCAGGCATACAACTGAAGTGAGCATTTAAAGTTTAAACTGTTAAAAAGTTGAAACAGCCACTGCAATTTATGGTAAATTTTAAGGGAAAAGGAAAAGAAAAGCCTGCGCATAGCAGACTAGTTATCTTTTCTCTGGGACATCTCTGAAGTACTAGAAAAAGGCATTGCTTCAATCACGTGATGCTCATCAAACTACGGTCACATGATCACTTCTTTCTTCCCCATTGACGTAAGGAACACCCTCCTTTGAACCTCAGACTCAGTTAAGCAAAATGTGATTTGGCTCGAACGCAAGGCAAAAATATGTTCATGATTGTTTGGCATTAAACATGGGTTTAAGGATTGTCAGGGGGGAAAAAAAAATACATGCGTTTAAGGAAAACAAACAAGCAAGTTTCGAGTTGCATTGACTCAACATGTTAGAGAGAAAACAATGACAGTACCGGCGGATAAAGCGGAGACTGTCATTGCAGAGATGAAAAGTTCCAAGCTTCCACCATCCCATGCGAGCCCAAAGGGTGTCGAGCTCATGCTTTTCCTTTCATCTTTTTCATTTGAACCCATGTTACTTTGCATTATCAGCCTCCATCATAACTGCAAGTCCGTCCTGCATTATTTGTCCACTGTTTTCTGCTGTAAGAGGAAAGCTTTTTAAAGAAAAAAAAAACAAAAAAGAAAACTACTGCGTTAAGGAAGAGTTTAAGTACCATGAAGCAGATTTCACTTGTGTAGATAGATGGATTAAGAAGTGTAATGGTCGGAATAGGACCTATGTACCCCAGTCACATAATCTTCAGGATTTAGAAAAACATGTGAATATTTTTACATTGGCACAAAAGAAAAAAATTGACTTTTCTCGGTGAATGATTATACATAAACAGGGGATCGCTCAGGAACATTTCTTTGTTAAATATCTACAATTCTTCAGTGACAATACGTACTAATACAACAATTCAGCGCCCCAACAAAATTGGTAACCTGCGCATCCCAGGACAACGCAGGTGGACATAATATGATGTCCGGTGTCTGATAAATCCTTCTCGTGGTACCTTCTTTATTTCTTTCTTTTCTTTACAACATCAGGTGTAATTTTTGGTCTATTTTCTCGGTGCATGGTCAATTCTTTCGTGAGCATCAAACTCCCATTCACTTATCTCGTCTGCCGAATCATCGTCACAAATTTTATCGAGTTGTGCTTGTATTTCTGACGATTCTGACATTCGCCCACCAAATGAGAGTGATTTGAGCAGTCCATTTGGTCTGAGTCCGTTCGCTACAGATGGAGTTCTAGGTGAAGCACTTTTAAAGGATGTTTGGCTTGGCGGTGTTTCGGACCTTTGAGTTGGAGTCTCAACTTCCAGCTTCGGCCTCTCAACGGATTCAAATTCTTCTTTTATTCTCTCAATGGCATCTAATAGATCCTTGACTTTGTCGTGGTCTTTTCTGTGTCAATATGGGGAAGTTTACTGATGCTAATACATTTCAGGAGAAAAAATGAACAGAGATAGGGAAGGAAAGTAGAGTATAAATTAACATGCCTGAAAATCCCTTCATTTTGAATGTGAAACTGTTTTTTAATGTCCTCCGCTAAACTCAGTATAAATTTAAACTGAAAATACAAGCAAAAAAGGTGGTGGTTAAGAGATTTGTTGGAAGGCATCAAGATCATGCGAGTAATAGAGCTGAACTGAGTGAATTCTCCCATGCGGTGTCAACTCAGCAGTGAAGATTCCTCTCATAACATTGAGTAATGATATCTACTTAACATCATTCAAGACAAGTGCAACCATCTCGAAGGATGAAGAAGAAAGCAAAATACCTTGTTTTCGACACCCAGATATTCTTCTTCAAGCTTTTTCCTCGAATTCATTATGGTAGAGACATCATTATCTCCAGCTTCTGATATTTCTGACCTGATATAAATCAACGGTTAGAGGCATGGACAAGACATGAAAGAAAACCACTCAGAAAGGCAGAGCACGATACCCTTGACTTGAGCTCAAGTTCTCCGCAAGTTTTCTTGCTTGGGTAACAGATGGACCCAACTTGTCCTAAACATGCAAGTAATCTTGTGATAAGAAATTGAAGAAAAAAATGCCGTAGGTACAAGTTAAATTGATGAAAGGTGAAGACGAAGGCAGTAAAACAATAGAGAAGGAAACTCTGAAGCTAGGATAACTTAATACCTTGTAAGAAGAGAGAAGACTTAGAACCAAATTCACAAAATAATTCCCATATTTCTCCAGGTCAGCACTTGAATTCATAAAATGAAAAATTAGCAAATTCCAAAATTAATAAGTGCAAATAAGAAATTGAATGTTTTTGTGAAATGAAAAGATTAGCAAATTCCAAATTAATAACTGCAAATAAGAAATTGAAGGTGAAAACGAAACAGTTGTTAGCCATAGAACTTCAGAAAATGTATCAAGAGGATTAATTTGATTGCACATTGGCACTAAGCAACACGATATGAGGACTTACTTGACCTGCTCCTTCTTTTTCTCTTTATGTGCGGTTTGGAGAAGCCAGGTACTTCGCAGAAAGTTGATCCATGTATTGACAACACAAGCTTCATTTGTATATGAAGCTATGGCTCGCAGAAGCTCATCTTCCTATATCAGCAAAATTTTGTGAAAGATCATGAAATTTGTAAAAGGGTTTATGACATATTATTAGATATTCATCTGAAATCACCGTTCCCCGAACCTTTTTTTTTTTTTTTCAAACTTTAAGAGGTAGATGTGATGCAACGCAAGAAATTAGCTTTTTTACCTTCATGGACAAATGCGCAAGAATTTCATTGCTTGCCTCCTCAAACTGATCTCTCTCTTCTTTTGCATTTTGGAGGCGCATACGAGCAGATAACAACGAAGCATTGACCTTCAAAAAGTTATCAGATTTCCGTAATTTTTGCAAAAATTCGCAAATATATCTATGAATCTCACATTAGCAGATTTCATAGTATGGGGAGGATGCGTATTCCAATGGAAGCAATGCTACAGATATTAGATATCAGTTTGATGCAGTAAACTAGATGCCATCCAATGCAGATGCTGTGAATCAAAAGAAGAAATATATTTTTTTCTTGGTTTAAAAAAAATTACCTACTTTTGAACAACATAATTGACATCTGCAGGTCAATGCAATTATACGTTTTTGAATATCATAATTGCCAATTAAAGGGAAGATGCTAATTCCATTACTAAAGAGGGGAAAAGAAAATTGAAAAAAAACCTTTTTCAGACTGGCTTCAAGTTCATCTTTCTGCTTCTCGAGTTCTTCAATCTCGTCTCCCAAGTCCTGTAACAGCAACAAAATTCATTCAAAAGCGAAAGAATTCATTCAGAATCATGGATGTTTAATTCTTTTCGAAAAATAGCCAAGACATCATAATTTAAATATTTAATTATATCCACCTAAAAATCATCAGAACTTGAGGAAAAAATATTAAACTCTTTCAAACAGTTTGAATAGATAGCCATAAGAAGCTGGTAGGTCTCTGTATGACACATTTTTCTAATATCAGATAATGCAAAAGTTAATGAGGCGATAATAAATGCTTACAGTGCAAACATAACACAAATAGTGATGAAAATAAATGTCTAACTAGAGAGAAGACAATTAAATTCTTCCTGGATTCCAAGCTCGACAGAGTTGCAGGTGTAATTCACTTAGTCGAGATGGAAATATAGAATTATGAACAATCTGTAATATTCAAGCACATCCCAAATCCATCAACAGTTGACATGGAAAGAGCACCATGCGAGCAATTGTGTAGGGGGAAGGGGGCAATATCTATGAAGATACTCAATGCTTGATTATGTTACCCACTGCGATGAGAAAGTTCCTAGTTCCTATTGTGTACGCTTTCATAAAGTTCGTCATTAGATCTACAACAAGATAAATCTATCTTCTTTTGAATAGAATGTACCTTCTCAACTTGGTTAACTTCATGGGACTTGGTTAGCCGGAAACTAAGTGCTTCTTCTTTTTGAGATCTAGTAGAGGACAGCAATAGAATTCAGTGGCATTATAGAAAATATACTGAAATACAGATTTTAGCCAAGGTCAACATTTCCATTTTCCTCGCTGAAATTTCACTAGCCCAAAAGTAGATGAGATTATCAGTAAATCACACTATTCACACTACTGCATGAGAAAACGAACTTTATAATAATGGAAATCATGTCTATCTTAGTAAGGTAGAGCTGAGTGCAGTGTTTGTGCTTAATACTAAATCGAGGTACAAGAATATGAGCAAGCACAACATACACCAGCAAGAATCACTTCAAGAAACTTGTAGTAACTGTTTCAGGTACCTGTGTTCTGAGATGCGATTTTTAGCTTTTGAGGTAGAATTGGCAAGAGACTCTGATAAAACTTTTAGTTTATCAACCTGCAAACAATTCAAACAAGCACCCTTAAACCCGAAAAGTGGTAGTATCAAAAGCAGAAAACTAGGCATCCATGTTGTACAGTTAATACAAGTTTATGCCTAGCTGCAATAAGTTGTTGATATCAGTGCAATATGGATCTACAAAAGAACTTTTATTAGCTTTCTGTAATCCTCGGGTTCTCAAAATTGCAAGTATACCTTGGTAAGTTTTTTTTTCTTGGTGACATGTTCAATTATGTCTGACTTGAAGGATTTGGAAGCTTGGACATAGAGCCAAACATAATAGCCTTTCTCAAAAGGTAGATCAAGATAACAATATCCCGATCATATGAAGCTTTTATAACCAATTAGGGAGTTAGAGTTCATGTGAAGACCTCCCTAACAAATAGCTAGCATTAAAATTATAGACCTCTAGAGAAGTAACATATGAAATTGAAAGTCTAATACTTAACTATCCCGTGAATTTTAAGATAAAACATGCCAAGGACATCCAGAACCTACAACTACAATACTGTAAGTCAAAACCACTTTAATCTCTGCAGAACTCATTCAAAATCTCTTCAGTTAACTCAAGATAGAGTGTTGCAGCTCTGACGCTATTTGGATATTAACAAATATAAACATGTCAAGGATAAACATTTAGAAGCTACAATATGATAAATCAAACCACTCTAACCCCTTCAGAAACCCATTTCAACAATTTCTCTGAGAGAGAGAGAGAGAGATTCAACAAACTCGAGTGTTGTATACAAGTTGACGTTTGGGCTGTTCGGTTACTGCCTGTATTTGGTGGTTTTAGCCTTCAGCCTTCGGTAAAAATAACAGAAAGAAAGAAAGATAGATAGATAGATAGATAGAGTGTTGCAGCTTTGATACTATTTGCATATTAATGAATATCAATTAAAACTTGGTGACTTGCCTAACTTTTTCTTGTAAGAGATCTAGAAGGCAAGGATCTGGAATCTCCAAAAGAGAGATTAAAGAAACAAGAACTTAAGGAGATAGTTGATTAAGCAGGAAGAGAAGAGCAAGATAGAGGCTGCAGAAATCATTGCACAAGACCTTTTCAGCATGAAATTCTGGAGAATCACCATAGCTAAAGTTTTTCTTCTCTAGTAAGAGTTCCTCCAACTTACTACATGTTTGAATTTGTAAAGCAGCTTCATCAAGAACCTGAAATGAAACTTTATAGGCGTCACTTCATTACACACTATTGACTGATTATATGATCTTTAAATCCATCGAGTGCTGCTTAAAATCTGTGAAGATATCTTAGAAGAAGCTCATATGTAGGTATAAAACATCTGTGGCATTAATCACAAGACACATAATAGAAAGTCAGCATATAAATAGATTTTTAAGGTTAAACTCTACCTTGACATTAAGAATTAAAGCATCACAACAAAGAAGCTTCAAATTGCAATAAGATTTTTAAGCTTCAATACAGTTGTTAGCTCAAGCACACAGATACTCAGGAATATAAGAATTTTAATAAAATAAGTTTTCAATGAATTTTCTTTAACATAGGAAAATAACTATATGATCAACCACATGGACAATCTTGTAAGAAATATCATATCATATCATAAGGAATACTTTATTTTCATTGCTTCATTCATGCAACTTGTAAATCATGGCATTCAATCAATAGTCAACACTCCTGCAATTATGTCATCTTTTCTTTGTCACTTCTATTTTCTTGTCAGAAACATATAAGCCATTTTGATCTAACTATGGATTCAGTAATAATTAAAGGTTCACTTTGGTATATTCAAATTCTAGAGAACAAACAATAACAGCCATTTAAACTCTTATCACCTTTTGTAGTAAACTAAGGACTGCTTAGGAAAGAACTGTGAAAAAAAAAAAGGGAAATAGTTTCAAATTAAAACCCAAGCATTACCAGAGACATTTCTGTACGCATGCCTGCATTTTTACAACCTAATACATGTTTGAAGTTTGAACAAAGTATTACACTTTCCATCCTAATTAAAGAGAGAATTGGGAGGAATGCATGAAATTTCACATGCTGAAGAAATGACATAACCAATAATAGAGAAATAAACAGTCAAAATAGAAGGCAGAGAAAACTTTTCAGCATAGTACAAAAAATGGAAAAACTAGAAATGCAATTCAAGGTTACACAAGAACAACAATCAAATCTAAGTGAAGAGAATGACAAAAGAATCAATTTGCAAGGGTACATGTGTTGTGCCATCGCTGGAAAACCAAACATTACAGGAAAGCTGAAGCCTTTTGAAAGATTTGCATAGAAACACCAACAAAAATATCCTCTAGTTCCGCCACCATAATGATCAAACCAGATCTACAATTGTGTGCATGTTAATTTTTGCTAGAATGAGTCTTTCTTTGGGTTGAGCTGAGCGCATTTTCACCAGGTTGTAAGAAACTTGAGCTCACCTCTATTGCTATAATGGGTGTTTCTTTGGTGATTTTATGTAATCTTCATCTGGTTTTTTTCCCACGGTTTTCTCGATTTGTTCCTTTAAACAGCTGGCTTCGTCATCTATTCTGAGATAGGAGAATCATCACACAAAAGAAGACCAGGAATGTCAATACTTGGTGCATACAATAATTTGAGAAGATATAAGCAATGCAATATCTGACAACCAGGAATAATACCAAAAAATTGATTATGAAGACATATTTTACATGCCATGCTTTTCTTGGAAGTTGAAGAATTTGACAATTGATGCAAGTCTATGATCTTCTCAGAATGCTTCCTTTAAATTTTGAATACCATGAAATGTTTCCGTAGTACTTCCTAGTAGTAGTAGATGTCTCAGCATGGCCTAGCTACAGATAGGTCAAATCTAGGCTTAGCAACGGGCTTACTCCAGAAGATAGGGAAACCAAATAAATTGTATTTATCTAATTTATATCTAATTAAGTGGGATCCTTATGAATTGTATGGAGTATAAACCACACAATTTGTGACTTGTGAAAAGAGTGGCTTGCCATAGATTTATATTTTTGTACTGACTAGATATAATTCTATGATATGTAACCGATGGGCAGAAAAATTGACGCATGGTAATTTCCATTACAGATAAAGAAACTGATGTTCCAATTGATCAAAATCGGAACATGCAGCTACGGACAACACGGTCCTAGATCATGCATGAGTAAGCAATAGTACCAGGTGCTAAGCGCGGATGCATCATAGGCAAAGCATATATTAGTCAATTTCTATGATACGGCCTCTAAACAATAGCACATCTCAAGGTCAAACAACCATCAACAAAGATATGTTAGCAACAACCTCATGGTATCAGCATTTACGTTCAACCTTGTGTTAAAGAATAGCACATCTCAGGGTCAAACAAACATCAATCAAGATATGCTTAGCAACAACCTCATGAGATCAGCATTTATTTTCAGCCCCACAAGTGCACCTTGGACATTTTGAAGCAATTCTTCCCGCTTTGCCTGATAAAAAAAGGTGAGAGAGGGAAAGAAATGCACATGTGAAATAAGTGTATGATCTCCAGTATCTTCTAAAAGGTGTATTTAAATTTGTAATTATAATTTTACAGAGCTAGAAGCTTAAGTTAGAAAACAAGTATCTAAAATGTCAGAGAATGGCTTCAAGCAACAAATTGTTGAGATGTTTAAACATAAACCAGATGCATATGATCCTTTTAAATTACCCCTTTTGAATTGATAAACTGTAAAGAGCAATATCGGTTGCAAGCATCAGTAAATGGAAAGTTGGGGCTGTTAGAGGCCTCCAATTTTGTTCTTAAATAGGGAGGAGGGGCATTTAGTAACCATGTTTTCTAGCGCATGAAAAGACCAATCTTGAAAATGAAGCTCACAATTCAATAATGGAAAACAGGATAGATGTGTTCACAAAGAAAAAGTGATGCGGCAATGAATCAAACCGTGAAGCAGCACATATGAAACTCTGCTCTGAACTGTAAATAACACCAGTTTACAAATATACACCTAAGCAAAAAATCCCTAGTTGTCAAATTGGTTTGACACCTAAATGATAATAAGTATGCACCCAAGTCTCTTCATAATGTTCGGAGCATGGGCTCATTCTAGCCCCATGCAAATAATGCAAAAAAGAAAATATCAATGGCATTACCAGTACTTCATCTTCATATCCGGAAAAAACTTTTGCCAGATCCATTACACTAGATAACACTACAGTAGCCTCTTCCTTTCCGCCTGTTAGACAAAGCCTGTAAAAGTAATCTTTTAAGCAAGCTTTTCTCCTAGTATCAGTCAGGGGACAAATGCTTATACTTCCTCACCAGCATCTGTTAACTTTCTAAGTACTGAAGAAACATTTGTCCACAAAAATATCAATTGTGAATTTTTTTTTTAATTTTGGAGAAAAAAAGGAGAAAAATAAAAGTAGTAGATTACCCGTATATCTCTGAAAGTAATGAAACTTCTTCTTCGTTTGGTGCTTCAAGAATCTGTGATACAAAAGAGATGGCCATCATTTAAGAACCATAAATGCGTGACAGCAGTCATTAGAATCTCGCAGAATAGATAGTAGGTTACAAGTCATCGCAACTCAACAAATTTTTATGAGGAGGAGGAATAAAATTCCATCTGCTACGCAAATGCCACTTTCGTGTTCTATAATAGGATTGTCTAGCTATATACATTCATGTTTTTTTTTTTTTGACATGAAATATACATTCATGTTCACAGCATCCAGTTATATACATTATCAGTGAACTTTAATCATAATTCCAATGTTGGAATATTTTAAGTAATTAAATGCCTGTTTGGATGCCCAAAAAAACCGAGTATGAATGCTTTAACCATGGCCTTGTTAGAAAAATCCCAAACACCCTCTCTTTTTTTTTTTTTTATCACCACGTTTTGCACCCTTAATTGCGTTTCAAAGAAGCTCATCTCACTAGGTTCTGTAAATCAATTCTCAGCATTCAGCTTTAATGGCGTGTCAGAAATTTTCAGATACCAAATACATCCCTGTGTGGCTCATTGTCATCTCAATGTACTGATTGCCTTTTATTCTTGTTTTCTCGCCAGCTTCTAATACCTCTCACACAACATCACTTTTCTTCCTTCCAAAATGTGTGCCACCTCCAGCTACAACTTTAAATAATATAATATATTTATACTAAATAAGTATTATTATACATATTAAAAAATAGATGAAAAAAAATTTAATACTATCAAATGTAACTTTATCAGATATTAGATTTATTTTTTACATACATTAAATTATTAATATAAATACAATTTAAATTTATATAATTAATCAGGTATATAAGTTAAATAATACTCCCTCTATTTAAAAATATAAGACATTTTTTAAAGAGTTAGATATAAAAAAAATGTAAGACATTTTCAGTTTTTCAATGTGTAATCATTACCTTTTTTAAAAAAATACTCCTATTGAATAAATTACTTTATATTTATTTTAGGCTTAAACACTCTATTAAATAGGGATAAATATGAAAAGATAAGGTTAGTTGAAAAATAAGTAACTACTTTATTAAAAGGTTAAATTTGATTAAAAATGTCTTTTTTTTATGGAGGTAGTATACTTTACATGGAAATAAAGTTAAACAAATTTAATAACATATACAACTTTATTAATATTTTAATTTTTAAAAGCAATATCCTTTATGGTAATTTGTATGTCTAAAATTAATTCTAACTAAATCATCCAAACATTCTAATTTTATCAAAATTAATTTTAAAAAAATAATATCCAAACATAATCACGTTATAATATAATCAATTATAATCAAAATCAATCATATTAATTAATTTTTTTAAAATCAATTATACTTAACTAAAATTTAAACAGCCTGTAAATTTATATGGATTAAGATTAATCAATAATTAGATCAATTGGCAGATTATGTTTTAAGTTCTCTCTCTCTCTTCTTAATTAGCTCATAAATGGGCATGGCATGTCTCTCTCCATTTCCTCTCCTAAAATTGTGTGTGTGTGTTTTTGGGGGGGGGGGGGGTACCCTCTTAATTAGCTCATAAATGGGCATGGCATGTCTCTCCCTCTTTCCTCTCCTAAAATTTTAAGTAACGTTGCATGCATGTTGACCCCCACCCAACATGTGGTGGGATTAAATAAAATAAACATACCCAGTGAAAGAATCTGCTTGGCAGCTAAAACACTACTAAACCCATAGCCTATTAAACCGCATTCTGAGCGAAAGTTTCGCAGTGACAAACTGAAAATACACGAGACAATTGGGTAATAACTGGGGTCCGATACTAACCCCAAAAATTCGACGCTACAGAATAAACTAACTGTTGAGATTATCTATAAAATTAAAATGTGCAGGAAAACCACTAACCATTGTTCAACTTACCATTGACAATGTTATGCCCTCAAGAGCTTGACTGGAAAGAAAGACATCGCGAAAATTTCTGGGTTCACCTGTCATGCCAGGGTCAGCATAATAAACCTGCCCATGGTTTTACGTAGTGGATTACTAACAAAAAACCGAAGTTGTAAGAACTCAGTAGAGGTAAAAAGAGAGGCTTCTGCAAGGAAGTAAGATTAACAGGAGGCCCCTCGTAAGAGCAAGAAGAAAGCAATTGCAATGTAGGAAGTGATGAAACAAAATTGTTTCACAAACCGGAGTCGGTCTTCCAGGTGAATCCTTGGATTCATTACTAACAAGAGGGTCTTCTGTATCTCTTGCATTGAGCTCGGAGAAGCCAGCCAGTCTCTCAACTTCTTTCAGTGCAACCAGCCACCTTCTTAGTAATTGAACCCTCTCTGTTCCCCGACATGAAACTGAAACTTCTTCTAGTCGTTTTACAGTAAGCTTAAAGCTTTGCATATTCCGATTGCCCTGTTTGACAAAACCACTCAAGCAATTCACAAAAAAACTCTAATTCACCCAGAAAGAGCCCCCCACCCGGGGAAAGAGAGGCAGAACAGTCCTGCCCTTGACAATAAAGGGGACGCAAAACCCTTGACAGAAGTATGCTCTCGGAAAAAGTGGCATTGTCATTCTCAAATCGTTAGATTACGATGCCATTTCTCTCATTCTAGAAATTAAAATGAAAAGGGGAGAAAAGAGTGTCGGAATATACAATTCGCTCTTGGATGATCTTGGCTCCACCAGCAACGGCATTGCTGGCGTGTAGGACGACGGAATCAGCGTAGTTGCGGACGGTACGAGAGAGGTTGCTTTGACCTCCTACTTCCACCGCTTTGTTCACCGCTGATCTTACCCACGACATCCTCGCTCACCACGCTTTTCTTGTACACTAATCTTCTTTCTTTGCGTTCGTAACATGCGGAAAAAAGTGGATGATCTTTTCCTTAATCCTTTAAAATATATGATTCATATCGATGTAGAAACTGGGCATGCAATTGATGGGGTAGGAAACATGAAAAGAAATTGGACGTTGATCCTGGTCACAAATGTTATTGCAGTTTCTAGTGCGGACTGGCCATTGATTCAACGGCGATGATCAATCTGTGAGAACAAGAGAAGGGAGAAGAGGATTGGATGGTAAGAGAGGAAAGAGAGAAGGAATGGCATCAGGGTGTAAGTGAAGAGATGGCAAAATGGCGAAGGAAGAAGTCAAGCGCTTGCGCGACACGATGAATGTTGATCTCTGCCATCAAGTTCGATTTATGTGCCTCTCGTTTCGCCTCGTATTTTTTTTTTTTTTAATTCATCTAGATTACCATTTGACGGTAGAATGACAACTAAGTAGCTCATTAAAAAAATTAATATTAAATTAAAATTTTTAATGCTGAAACATTGAAAGAGGAGTACTGAATTTAAAAATATTAGTCGTAAAAAATTAGAATTTGATATAAATTTTTTTATGGGGTCCTTTCTTGTCATTTCCCCCATTCGACTCACCCTTTGCCCCCATACTTTGGCGCTTAAAGCCGCCATTTCTCGTTGGTTGTTAGTTGTTACCGTTACTTGTCCATTTCAGGGCCAAAAGACGCCAGCAAAATAAGTAGACCCGTATCAGTATTCGTGGGCTCTTCTCTGGACGTTGGCCCATAAATTTTTATCCAAGTAAACAATTTCATTATTCTTAATATATTATTATTATTAATTAAAAATTTAGTTCAATTTAATAAGTGCTCAAAATATGTCCTTTTTAATTAATTTTATAAATCAAAATAATTTTAACAATTTTTCCAATGCTTTTGTGAAAAAATTTTAGAAAAGCATTGGTGGATTTCTTGATAAAGTAGACTTTGATATGAAAAAGACATATTATTAAAGACTTAATAATTAAGAATTATATCCAAATAAAATTTTGTTTATTTTTTCTGCCAACTTCTCTGATAAAAAATATGGCCTGTCTATAACTTTTTTTCATAACTTTTTATTTTATTTAGGAACTATGTATTCATCAACAAAAATGTTTTTTCATGTTAGTTTAAAAAAACCATACATTTATGCTATGTTTAGATGCACGTGGATTTAAATTTAGATATGGATTTGAGTTAAATTTATTATTTAGGTAACTAAAAATGTACAGATTTGAATTTAACCCAAATTCAAATCATACATAAATTCCTTTACAATTTTAAATCATTTCCAAACTCCTATTATTTTAAATTTCAATGAAAGCTTATTTCTTTTTTCATGTTCGTTCGTCAACTTCACTACCTTCTTAGCTTTGACATTTTTGCCTCTAATCAACATTGATTGAGACCATAGGTGACAATCAAGACTAGAATGCCGACACCAATAGGGACAAGACATCTAACATGGACCCTGCCATAGGGACCAAATAGTCGATGCTGACCGAGATCGAATGGTCGGCTTTGACCTAGATGGCATGGACGACACCAATTGGGATCAGACAACTGGCATCAAATTGGACAAGACCATAGGTGATGACCAAGACCGAACAGTCGACTTTAACTAGCTTCGAATGGTTGATGCTGACTGGGATTGGATGGCCGGTGCCAATTGGGATTGGATGGCGGGGGTGGACTGGGATGGAAAGGCTGATGCCAATTGAGACCGGATAGCCAACCTCAACTGATACCAAACCACTGATGCCTATCGAGACTAAATTGCTAGCAATAATCGAGACCATTGTGTCGTTGCCAATAATGATTAGACCAACATTGCCATCTGATTTTGGACAATCAAAGTCAACCAAAATTGGGTCACCACCCTTGATCAAGACCGGACCATTGACTTTGATTAAAGACATTATTTGAATTGCCTTTAAATTCAAACATAAAATTTAAAATTTAAAATCCAAACAAAGTATTTTAATATTATAATATAATTTAAAATTTTTTATATCATCCAAACAAAATATTTAAAATTTATAAATTTTAAATGTGAGATTTTAAATTTAAATTTCAACTTAAATTCACTTATCTAAATATAACGTTAGAGTATTTTAAAAAGAGCTTAAAAACAAAATTGCGAGCAACGCTCACAGATGAGGGCTTGGAGCCCGGGGTTGAAGGACCCACACAACGTTATAAAGTGGAGATAGAGACAGCTGCTTTGAGTAAGCATCTATGCTATTATTCCTTGATAATAACAAGGAAAAGAAAAAAATACAAGGTTCACTTCAGTATGACATGTAAACCACTCTACAACTTTTTTGCTTTGGTGATGGAGCAATGTTGTATGCTTCTTCCTATTGCATGGCCCACCACGAATCAAGAATTAATGAAGATCAAAAAATAGGCCCAGAGCTTATTCCGAAGAATGAACTTTGAGTGCAAAAAGGTACGTTTCGATCATCAATTACGGCGTCTGAATGGGTCACTCGAGGAACGCTTTTCATTTCTGTTAAAAACTTGGATGGCCCCATACCAACTGAGATCCTCGTCAGAGGGAGCTATACAGCTCACCTTCAGCAATCAACTAGTCAATATCTGGCAATGGCATTTTCCAGTAGTTCCATGAATTGAAGTCTTCCTGCAAGGTTCCAGAATTAAAAATCCACGCTGTAAGTTGTGAAGTAAGGAAACAAAATCTCGTTCATGATTTTATATAATTCCTCACCTGCTCCACCAAAGAAGTAGGGGGAAACATGTCATTGACAAGGGTGTGTAATGATGTATATGACTTCACATCGATCCGATGACTTATGGCAACTTCGCCCTGTTGGATTTTGTAGGAATTATAGTTCATACGCGGGGATAGCAAATTGTATGAAATGTCAGTGCAGGATACACACCTTGGGGTTAATGATGAATATCTTGCCTTTTGGAATTCCAATCTTTCTGTAACTAAGTTCATCTGTGTCTCTATTGCCAAATCCAGCATAGAATGGGTTGTAATCAGCAGGGAAAAGTCTTTTAATATCCTGCAAAAATCATATCATGAGTACAATATAATGTTGGCAACAGTATGAATTTCCCAGTTACTTTGAGTGACAGGGCTTTGTGTTCCATAATTACCTCAAGACATGCGATCTTGAACTCGTGAGGTGCTCTTCTTATGACTTCATCAGCAAAAGAACCCCAACCACAACATAACAAGTCAGTCATGGATCAAAATCACTTCCGCAGAAAAAGAAAATGCAGCACATACACGTGCAAGTAATTCCATATGAAAAAAAATTTCTGTCAGCAAGGGCCAGGTAAGACAGTTCATTATACAGCATGACTTGGCAATAATGAATATGAAAGTCGGTATTTGCTAAAGCTCTTCATAAATGATAAAACCAAGGAAAATTTGAAAAAGATTAGGAGGCTAAGTACAGGCCCCAGATCCAGGTGGTTTAAGTATAAAATAACGAACATGCATTGTGTTTGCTGAAATTTCTGCGATTGGTTTCATACATAATTCACAATCACAATAAATATCGGGCTTGTTTCTTTTCCTTCTCTTCTCTACAATCTTATTCAGTTCACAGACATAGCATCAACGAATAAAGAAGCACAAGGGAGCTCCAATATTCTTATCACAATGCTGGAAATTGACAACATATACCGCATAGCAGAATCCATTGCAATCTTAATTAGTCATATTACAAGCGCCTCACTCCTCACCTTCTCGGTAAAGTGAGGGAAATAATCCATCAGGCGAAATAACCACAGGTCCATTTGGTAATGCTTTTCCATCCTGCAAGCAGGCATAACTAACAAAATTCAGCTACGACGGTATTATCACCAGATGACAAAATCAAACAGCCAAAAGATCAAGCAGATCGTTCATAAAGGAATTATCTAGTCATTAAATCAAGATCCACATTACATGGTTGATAGTGATCACAGGAAGCCAGGTTGCTTCAATACCTGTTTCAGGTTAAGCAAAAAGTTCCTGGTTAGATATGCTTGTACAATGGCACGGGCACTCAGAAACAGAAGTTGATATCCATTTTCCTGACACGCAAGCAGAATCTAACGTTAGACATTAATCTTCCTGATATACAATTCAATGCAAATTATATCATGAATGCTAGCTGCATATGACATTAAACATGTTAGCAATCACATTCAAACATGAGAAGAAGCTTAACTATTGAATAAAAATAATAATAGGGTAACCTAGTCCCTCTTCCTCTGAGAAATGACCACATTACGTGAGTTTGATTTACAATTTGCTAAAAACACATTTATCAAACTGAAATTTGAACAAAAGTTAGTTGTCATAATGAGATTTATGTCCAAATATATTTTTTAAGAAATCATTTCAGTAAACTGAAAGTTATTTGGATAATATCATCAAAAATACTTTTAAATGTGTAATTACCAAAAGGATATGAGTTTAATGATATGTAATATTTGTTATGTAAAATTTGACATGTTGAAAAAATATAAATAAATTAAAAAATCACAGGAATATTTCCTAAATGTGTTTTTCTTGATCTCAAAAGCAACTCATTGGAGCTTTGGTCTTGCACAGTCGGTTTCCTGAATATGCTTCCAAAAATAAGAATTTGGAAACCAAACAAAACTTCGCTAAAAGTTGTCCTTTTAAAAGGACTTTTGGGCTTCTAAAAGTGGAGACCAAACAATTCCTGCATGGTTCTGTGTTTTACTTTGAAAAATAATAGAGCAAAAATAATTTTTTGCAAGTTATAATTTTAATGAAAGAAATCAATACTATTCTTGGGAATATTTTGGTTATATCGAGAGGGATTATGTATAACTGCTTATATTCATAATAGAAAAGAAGAATATGCGATTTAGATATCTCTGATGGGCGAGGGGGGAAATTATTCCAAAATAATGATATTCATCAAATGTTGTTGTTGTTGTAATGATATTCATAAAATACAAAGTGAAACATGAAAAAATAAGCATGAAATGCTGTGTGGTCATGAAAGCAAACTACGGATACTATTTGTAAGTTGTGTAACAGTTTAGTTTGGCTACAAAAGAGAACAGTCATGCTAGCATTCCACTCAACTGTGCTTGCTAATCAAGCAAACCAAACGTTAACCAGGTTTCAGGTCCATTTGCTGAACAATCTCAAGCCAAAATACAGTGTAACTTAGTCCAGTTTCTTGCAAACCAAGTTCACGGGAGAGTGTGTGTTGGAATAGATCTATAACTATAAAAGAGAAGAGTGTTTGTTACATCACTACAGAAACAGCGTGCACTTGTAATCTGCAGTTAAACTCATCATCCAGAAAGTAAAATCAAATAGTCTTTTTGTCCCTACCAAAAAATCATGCTTCTACTTAAAAGCTCTCAAGGCTGAAGAAAGCAGAAAATCAATCTGCAGCCTGTACATCCACTTTATAAGATACTCCTTAAAGAAAAAGCCCTTGAGAGCTCCCTAGCCATAAAACTCATCAACTTTCAGCCTCCCATCAAACTCTAGCTCTATTAAATAATAAATTCAGGTGTTTGTATAGATAAAATATGCATACTTTGATGGCAGAAAAAAGCCTTGCCACTCCAGATTGAGTCCAATCTTTACCAACTAAAGGCATGAACTGTCCCAAAACATCAGACCTGAAAGGACAACAAAACCATTTTCATTATGATTCCCAAACAATACTGCAGCTCTGCCTTTAATTCTTTTTAGCTTTTTTCTTGTTTTACAACTTCATTAAGAAATATCTGCCCAATTCTAACCACAAATGAAATCATGAGCATCTTTTTTTGTTTTTCCATTGTAAATTATTGTCAAACGCATGTCTACATGCAAGCCAGAGAAAAATGGTATGGGTAAATGATGCCACTGAAAACCAGAGTCATACCCATCATCAATGACACACAGCCAAAGAAACTTGTTAATCATCCAAGTTTTACAAGATTTAGATGAAAAAGCTCATGATATACTACACAAAAAGCTAAACACAATGCTTTGCTTCATTAAAGCCACTTGGTTACCAGCTAAAATCCAACAGCTTGAGTCATTAAGTACATTGATGTTATTTGTTTTGAAAAAGATTTGGAAAAACATAACTTTAAGTCTCTGCAGTTTGTTAAACACCGAAAAATAAAAATGTAGTGATCTAGAACATTGGAAAAAAAGTGCAGAGACCTATAGTAAAACTCGAGTAAAGTGCAAGAACCCAAAGTTATGTTTTCTCAAAAGATTTCTTATTCTCTGCCCGACCAGCATGTTGTTAGAGCACAAGAAGAAGACAAGATGGCTTGCTTCAAACATTTTAAGAGTAGAGCAATGAGAATGGAAGTTGTGACTCACCAACTACTAATCTACTATGACTGAATGTCATATAAACACACCAGAAGGCTTCCTACAAGCCAGATCCTGAGATAACAAAGTCTGCACCCCAATTTCTGTCTTAATTTACTCTTAAACAACTTCTATGGCATCAAAATATACGTAACTTTGCAAGAGTAGTCAACAACAAGATTTAATTATAACATAAACATCCAATTAAATAGGACCAAGAAAGGATTGAGAAGAATAACAACAATAACATAGCATCTGTGTCGAAGTTTATTAACATATTCATTATCAGAAGCCTTACTTGGTAATAGTTCCATCAACATCTGAAATTACAATTCTTGCATTCCACTTCCATAAGTATATATGAGCATCAACCTGTTGTTGAGTTAAAATATCAGGCTTAAATAAAGAAAAATCCAAATATTTATGCAAATAATTATATTGATGAATACTAAACCTGTTGTTTTCCAAGAACCCTGGTAGAGAAACTGAAGGTTACTAAATTTTGGCCTTCATTTAGATTCAAAGAGGCTATTTGCTCATTAGTGGGCACATTAGTCCTCACTAATTGCTTGTGAGGAGACCTGTGGCTGCCAGCTGTTGGAGATGACTCTCCAAGAGAATTCTGCAAACCAGACTCAGAATCCACAAAAACCTCATCATTTGAAGAATTGCTACTAGTGTGCTCAATTGTTTTGACTTTTCGAAAAGGTATAGGCCAAAGTCTCCATCTACGCCCAGACCGAGCAGATCCATGATCATCATCCCTAGATTTCAGTGCATCATCCTGCTCCACGGGAATTGTATCCTTAGGCTCAACAGGTAAATCTAAGCCAAAGACGGCCATTCCAAGAACAAGGGGAGCAGCCTTTTCCCATGGCAAGTACCTCTCCTTGATCTTTATAATGAGATTTTCATTCTTAATTATGGATGGGGCAGAAACTTTAAACTCGTCTGCACATATCCGATGAGATTCAAATGCTTTAACAGCTGCAACCATGCCAATACCTGCCTTAAGTTCATGGCCGCATAGTGAGATCTCAAATCCTAAAAATTACAAGAAAGTAATCAAGCACTACCCAAAATCAACAGATAGTCGTAGATCATAATCCAAGAATAACAAATTTGCAACAGAGGTCTCACTCAAACCTGGATGACTTTTGGCCTCTTCTCTGAATACTGTTTGGGGTTCTGCCACCTCACTTTTATTGCTACGATCTTCAGACACAAGGGTTTGTTGAATATCATCTAGTCCGTTGGTTGATGCTGACTTGCCTGTATGTTCATCATTTGATATAGCCATATCGGAAACAGAATGTCTTCCTGAATCGGTTTCAACTTCCCGTAATGCTTTTTTCTCTACATCTTGGGGTCTTACTTCTGAAGATCTGCAATCATCAGAAGAAGCAGAAGCGTCAGAAGGAGACAACTCACCATCACATTTAGATTTTGCCAGGCTCCCCTCTTCATTCTCAACAACAACTGGGTGTATTGTGTTCGTATCCTCGGCTGAATGCTGATCCCCCAATGAGGAAACTTTATCCAGTAAATCAGCATTCCCAGCCAGCTGAGAAAATTCCTGCAACTCCAAACAGCTTTTGAAAACATTATTCCTTGTGATACCAGATGCACCCTCTACTGAATCATTTTGCATATGACGGCCTTCTTCTTGATTTTGTATATGAATATGTCCCTCCTCTTCCTGATGACCCTCCTGCTGGAGCTCAGAAATATTATCATCGCCGTTAGTGTAGAAATGGCTATCGGTTGGAACATCAGCTGCTGGAGCATCCATCTGACTTATATAATCAGCATCCCAGGCACTCTCACCAGAAATAAACTCCGTGCTGTCTTCACAAAACTCAGTCCCTCCACCTGGAACAAGATGAAATTGAGGAGTTTCTAACTGCAGAGTGTCTGTATTCTGCTCTGATTCAGAGATAGGAGCCGTCAATACATGGCCATCCACACTAAACAATACCATTTCTGGATGAGAGTCCTGCGAATCAACATAATTATCTCCATCTAAAGTCTCATATGGATTTGACTCATACTCTGACAGCTCAACTGAACCTTCAAAAGAAGATTGCTCATCTTGGAAATCATAATATCTCCTGCCACTATCAGATTCTGTTCTTTGAATTGGAGGCACATCAAGCGAATCATCTTCATCTTTCAAAGCAAGCACCCCTGAATCAGAGACACTATGGGCAAATCTATGAGCATGAGTATTATCAATTTCCATACCAATGTTGTCTCGCGTAAATTCAGAGTTACTAGTATCTTCAACAATTCCAATTGACTCCATTCCCTTATCATCATCCACCTCCTTCACAAAATAAGCCTCCCCTGAATTATCAAGATACATGTGGAAGTTTGCTTCAGCACCGTTAACATTTATACGCACAATTTTTTCAGCACCTTTGAGAACACCCTGAAATTTACCAAACCGAACATACCATGGCGTGCTTCGGAATGTCCCATCTTGCTGCTGAACAACAATCACATCAACGGCTCCACCAAAGGGGTGAAAAGGGGTAGCAACTGAGTAAACGCCTTGGCTAATCAGGCTTCCAACTTTGCCCACTACATTCATTTCGTGAGTTGCCTGTGAACCTCTTAACTTTTGGGAGACCAAGAAACAGTCCTTGAAGTTAAAGCCTCGCTTCCAATTACGTCAATTACAATAATGCGTATAAATTATTCTTCCAACCCACTTGGCTATGAATGTCTTAACTTGTTGTTTTCTTTCCCCTGAATATGGTTCTTGTTCGAGTAAAGCTGCATAGCATGAGATGAAGGGAGAAAAACAGATTTAACTAAGGGAATGACCGTTCAGGTAGTAAATTTGAACCAAGATTTTCAGTAGACTGAAACAACAGCGCCCACTCGGATTACCAAAAATAATGAAGGGAAGGCTAGAAAGGAACTGGAGACTTTGCAGTAAATATCAATATTGTGCTCAAGTTTCGAAACTTCGACTGTATCGCCTGACTTGAAAAAGTGAACGAAGCCAAGAAAGCCAGCTTTATTGGATAATTACCAGAAATTAATGTTCAGAAATAATTATATAGGAAAACTTGTCCAACGTAGGGAGAGGGGGGATAGACATTGAAATAAAAACAATAAATTCGTGACAGAAAGAAGCAGAGCTAGATGAATCAATAAAGGCGGTCAGGTAAGACTTACAGATTCAGAGCTCCAATCCGGCAGCTCAAGAAATTGAGGGGCGATTTCTCTTGGTCTTTCCTTCTTTGTTATGATGTTTTTTAAAATTCTTGGACTGCCTTTTGATGCTGTTAATCCTCCCTGGAAACTTCACAGTTCGGGCCTTTTCAGGAGGATTGGGCAATAGAGCGAAGCCCGAATCAAAAATCAAAACCACCCTTCCACAACCGCAGCATTAAATAGGTATTCCCCGACCAAAACCGTTCAATTATCCCTTTTCCGCCTCAATATTACAGGAAATACTTGGCAAGCAACACATAAATTCTGAAGCGTGCGAGGGATTATTCGGTCATTTCGAACTACTTTTCGTGCTGAGTCGCTGGGTTTGCATGGGTGGAACGGAAATTCAACCACCTCATTTCTCTGCAGCCTTCGAGGGGGAAAAAATTAAAAAAAAAAAAAAAAATTGAGGTTTACATTAGAAGGTCTAAACGAATATTCGTGACAATTCCTGGAATAGCTAGAATACTACTAAATGATGCATTTTTATTTTCATTTTTTCCCATGATTTTCTCATTGTTTATTTCTTTCTTTCCTTTTCTGTCCTTGACCACGTGATCCATTAGGTGACAATTTAGGACGGAAAAAATGCAGAATAGTTAATAACATCTGGACTCATCTAACAGCTAACATGTTCCCAAGTTTTGGCCAACACCAAGTGACTTGGCAAATCTGTCGTCGAGATCCGTATTGATTTCTGTCGAATGCATTTATTTATTTTTTTATGGTCATAGGAAAACAAATGCCCATTTATTGAATACTGCTGTTTTTGGAATTGTTTTTTCATACCTAACTTTTTATATGTACAGTAGAATTAAGTTTCAACCGTTCAAATTTTATTTCATTTTGTTTTAATAGGTGGATAATATAACCTCTAAATAATTTTCTAAATTGTTCAAGTTTTAACCAGTTGACTAGACTGCTAATAGCTTGGTGATGCTATTGTTTATCCAAACTCCAAAGCTGAGGCACGTTAATTGTTAGTATCGTTAATAGGATGTTAAATAGTTGGAGTTACCTTTCCAAAGCCAGTTGACTAGACTTCATAGAGTTACCGCGCCAAAAATATGCGTTCGGTTTTTGTGCTTGTCACTATCGTGCTTGTCACTTGATAAGCAATTATTTGTCAGTTTTTATTTTTTATATTTTAATACACACACACACACACATATATATATATATATATTAAATTATAAAATATAAAATTTTAATAAATTTATTTTATTATCAATCTGGATAATATAAATTTAATTTGAATGATCTAATTATATTAAATTTTTAAAAAAATTTATAAATTAATCTTCCAAATGTATTTTGGATAGTGTATGAAAAGAATATAATGCTCTTCTTGGTGTTAATACTTGGAAGCTAGTTCCTCTTCCAAATGATCGCAAGCCCATTGGTTGTAGTTGGCTTTTCAAGATCAAGACTCGTGCTGATGGTAGTTTTGCACAACACACCTTACAGTTCCTCCCCCACCAGTCCGAGCTTTGCTTACTCTTGCTATCGCAAACAACTGGAAGCTACATCAGGTGTGCTTTAATAATGCTTTTCTTAATGGGATCTCAGTGAAAACATATATATGGAACAGTTAGGATTTGAGGTATCAGTTGCTGAAAATAGTCTTAGGCTTATATCTATTCAAAGTGCATATGTACAGTCAATTTATAAAAATTAAAAAAAAATAATATTGAATTAAATCATCCAGATTAAATATATATTGTCTAAATTGATGATAAAATGGATTTATTAAAATTTTATAATTTTTTATAATAAATATAAAATAAAATTAAAAAAATTATAAAATTTGAACTGTACAGATCCAGATGCTCATCAAGGGTGCTCATCACAGCTTAAAACTGAACGCCCAAAAATATGGCCAATAGTTAGAAACAGCCCCTAAAAATGGCGCTCCAAGGGAATAAAGGGAGTGACCCCACCGCATGCACCTGTCTTCCACCTTCTCCCACCAACAATTCCATTTAACTTCAGTTATGAGTTCAAACATCAATGAACATGAAAATGACATTTAATCTCTCATTTTTTGAATTCCCAAAAAAAAATGAGTTTGATAAAACAAAAAACAATGTATTTACATATAAATTTATCCACGTTACAAATGTGGAGAAGGGGTAAAATCATCAACAAAAGAAATCATATAAATTTATCCACATTACGAAAGTGATCTCAATGACTTCAAGGAAAAAACCATGAGACTGAATCGATGAGAAATTGCTCACCTCGATTGCTCTTCCATTAGACTTGTCGTTTACTGCTTCCATTGCTATCCGCATGGTTGATGTCTTTTAATACCTTTTTCATTATCATTGACCAATGTGTTTACAAACAAACCTAGTTTCATATAAAAAGCAGAATCCTTGGCATGCCACAAAGAAAGAGAGTGTGAGGGCATGGTCTATAAAAAACATAGCAAACCATGAAAAGGGATACATGAAATTGTGTGAACAAACACCTTAAGAAAGGTAGTTACATTGTGATTGAGATGGTCGTCGAAGAGTTTGAATTCATCGAAAAGAGAGCGAGCAATATTTATAAAGGAAAATTTTCAATAAAAATTTTTGATCATATTTATTTAAATTTAAAGCCTCAAAATTTTTAAATTTTATTGCAATCTATGGGTGCTAATTTGAAATTAAATTTTTTAAAAAAAATAAAATTACCTTTCATTTAAATTAATATCAAAACTGTCTTACCCTCAAGAGTTAATTATTCTATTTCACTTATTCATTTACTTACAAGGTATTGTTAATTGTCCTACTCCAATTGTTCACATTCCTATAATAAAATCAATTGAAAGTCTGGCAATGAATAAGTGAAATAAGGCAATAAATAATAACCCGTAAGTAAATGAATAACATATAATATAAGAATTAACAAGTTGTCTTAAAATGATTTAAACACCTAAAATAAAAATAAGTTAAATAAGATAATTAACAATATTTTATAAATAAGTTAACAGGTAAAATAGGACAATTAATAAGTGAAGTGAAAAGTTTTAATATTAATTTAAATGAGGAATAATTTTATCATTTCACTCAAAATTTTAATATCAAATTAGTACTCCTGAATTACAGTGTAATTTTAAAAATTTAAGAGCTCTGAATTTAAATAGATTTGGTTAAGAATACTTTATTGAAATTCTTTCTATATATTATAAACCCTTTCAAGCCCAAGCTATGCATTAGGAATGGATTGTTGGTGGAGGGAGGGAGAGAGTGAGTGGTGGGAGTAGACATTGAGAAACGAAAAGGAGGTCAAAATGTTGCTGAGAATGCTAGTGGTGGGAACAAAAAATTGGATAGTCGAATGGAAGGAAATGACAATGAAAAGGGTAGGACTTGAAGCAGAAGAATGAAGTGACGACGATCCAATAAAGAGGGTCTTAGATGTGACTTGAGTTTTTTTTTAATAGGAAAATGAGGCGCCATTCAATTTTGTACGGTGGTTGCTTGAAGGAACCAGCAGGTGATGGCTAAAAAATTAACTTTATTTTAATTTTTTTGAAGAGAAAAACAAAGGTAAGTTTAATTTCTGAAATAGAAGTGTTGAGAATTTATAGAGAGAATTCTAGCTTGGTACGGTGTTTGTTTTAGGAAAAACATACATTTTAGTTTTTATACTTTGCTCATATTTTATTATAGGTCCTAACATTTTTTTCAATATTTGAGTCCTTATACTTTTATTTTTTAATGTTTTACATTCATTCAAGGTGCTTACACTTTCTTTATTTTATTTATTTAGGGATTTAGAATACTGAAAAATAAAAATGTGAGGACCCAGAACATTAAAAAAAGTATAAAAATCTATAACAAAATACTCTCTCCATTTAAAAATGTAAAATATTTTTAACTGAATCTCACCCCTAATAAAGTAATTATCTACTTTTAAATTAACTCTATCATATTTATTCTTGTTAACCACTTTATAATAAATATAAAGCCATTATTAATAGGGATATTTTTGAAAAAAAAGTTAATGATTATATTTTAAAAGATTAAAAATATCTTATATTTTTTAAAATTTAACTTTTTAAAAAAATACCTTATATTTTTAAATGAATGAAATATAAATAAAGTGTAGGAATTAAAAAATATATTTTTCCTTCTTCTTCTTTTTTGTACCCGAAGCTTTGTACTGTGGTTAGTTGAAGAAACTAAAAGATAAAAACTAAATTCAAAATAAGAATAGATACTTTTTGTCAAGAATTTCTTCTAAAAATATTATATACTCCAATTTAAAACAAGATTCGGCTTGGCTCCACATGATATGTGATTCGATAGAAAAATCATATAAAAAATAAAAAATATAAATATATATAATAATTAAAATCAAAAAATTTGGCCTAAAATAAAAAAATTACTCCTCCAATTTATTACAATACAATATATTTACTACATTTTTTATTTTAAATAATTTTCTATTAATTTTGTTTGAGCTAAATATGAAACGTCGTTCAAATAGGTTACGAGACTAGTTGAGCAGAATAATCGAAGCATCAAGCCCAATATAAATCAAAGAGGCCGATCCCAAAGCTCAATAAAGTTCACAATAAATAAATATGCCGAAATCCTGTTAGCTTCAAATATCAGACTATTGGTACAAGGACACGATCCTAAGTAATGTCGAAATCTGTGCCCGAGTAGTTCAGTGAAACGGGCTGGTTATCAAAATAGAGAGACCATGCCATAAGTTTTACGGGATTCCTGATTCCTCAGCAGAACGTGTTAAGTCTCAAAGGAAAAGCTTCTACTATTCAACACTATAAATAGAAAGAAGAAAAATAGAGAAAGTTAGTCAACACTCCATCAAAACTCGCATATTTTACATTCATTAGCCCCTTTTAGTTTTTAATTTTTAGTCTGTAATTTTTACACTTCAATTAAATTATACACTTGTTCTACCAAAATCTTATATATTTTTACATTCAAACGAACTATGATAAGGGAACTCAAGACCCTTTTCGTTATCTATTAAGATTCAATATCTCTGGTATGCTTGGTATTTATTGTTCAACCACAAACAAATTTATATTAATACTCAATATGACAGAATACTAGCTCAAAATAAAAAAGCTAAGTCTTTTAATGATTTGAAACGCATCATTTGATGATTAAGAAGCTTAAGGGCTGTTTGTTTTTTGTTTTTAAAAACTATTTTTTAAAACAAAAAAATTAAAAATTTATATGGATAAATGTTTTTCATTTAATTGTTTTTAAAATTTTTTTTTTTTTTTTTTTAAAAACAATAAAATAAAAATAGATTTAAATTATTTTCATTTCATTTTTTTGTTTTTAAAATACAATATAATT